GAATATGTTTCTCCTTGGCTTGTGGTGGCTGAAACAACTACTGGCAAACGTTGGCAAAGCACCTTGAGCTTGGCTTGATTGGCTGGATGACGGCCTTCCATTGTCCAGCATCTTGTTGTTGCCTCTCAAAGAAAGCTTGAAGTTAATCTGGCACAAGCCGACATGCCCAGAAGGTTCAAGAACTGGCACTGGTGGGCCACTCTCATGATAGGTGGCCATGAGCTTGGTCAGATCCTGCGGACTGTTGGGGTAATCCACAATGTAGTCATCGAGGTAGGCATCAGACTTGGTGACTTTGCTCCGCATGTTTCTCAGCACTCACTTGAACTTTTTCATGGCCTCGAAGATGGCGGCTGGGGTATTGTCTCCGGCTTGTAGCCCGGCCCCGATCTCCACCGCCACGATGTGCCAGTGGGCCACATCAGCCCTATCTGGACGCACCTCGACGCCACTTGGTCGACCTTCGTCGCCATTGGCGTGGGCGTGGACGAGAGAACGTCCATGTCCCTCTTGGTGAGGTAGGCCTGGAAGTTTTTCACCGTTTGCGGAGGCCGCTTTGCACCCTTGTTCGTGGTGCCCAGCACTGCCTGATTGATGGCAGTGCCGATCAGCTCTGCCTGCGGCTCTGTCCACGGCCCCTTCGCCAAGACCTGAAGCAGGTCCTCTGCCTCAGATGCACTGATCTTCGCGGTCCTGAGCTTGGCTTCCCACGCCGTGGCCTGCTGGTCCATGCATGCGGCCAACGAGCCCGCCCTCTTCAAGACCTTTTGCTGGCTTGTCAAAAAGGCCTGCACCTCCTTCAAGGATTGGAGGAGTTCTGCCATCGATACCGTTCTTCCAAATTAGAAGAGATGCTCCAATGCCTCTGAAACACAAACGGCTGCGAAAGCGAGCTTTGCAAAGCCCTGCTTGTGCACAAGCGAGTTTCAAAAAGCCCTGCGTTGTGCATTTGTCTGGAAGCTTCAAGACAGGACATCTTGAATATGGCACTCAAGCAGTGGAGAATGAGATGAACTCGAACATTTTTCCCGAGAGCGTCTGAGCGCAGGGTTCTTCCAATAGTGGGGGTCTGTAAAACATCTTCTCATCTTCACATCTCATCTTCACATCTCATCTTCACATCCTCTCATCTTCACATCTCATCTTCACATCCTCTCATCTTCACATCTTTTCATCTTTACATCCTCTCATCTTCACATCCTCTCATCTTCACATCTGCTCATCTTCACATCTTCTCATCTTCACATCTGCTCATCTTCACATCTGCTCATCTTCACATCTGCTCATCTTCACATCTGCTCATCTTCACACCTTCCCATCTTCACATCTTCTCATCTTCACACCTGCTCATCTTCACATCTGCTCATCTTCACATCTGCTCATCTTCACACCTTCCCATCTTCACATCTGCTCATCTTCACACCGTCCCATCTTCACATCTTCTCATCTTCACATCTGCTCATCTTCACATCTGCTCATCTTCACATCTGCTCATCTTCACACCTTCCCATCTTCACATCTGCTCATCTTCACACCTTCCCATCTTCACACCTTCTCATCTTCACATCTGCTCATCTTCACATCTGCTCATCTTCACACCTTCCCATCTTCACATCTGCTCATCTTCAAACCTTCCGATCTTCACATCTTCTCATCTTCACATCTGCTCATCTTCACATCTGCTCATCTTCACATCTGCTCATCTTCACATCTGCTCATCTTCACACCTTCCCATCTTCACATCTTCTCATCTTCAAATCTGCTCATCTTCACACCTTCCCATCTTCACATCTGCTCATCTTCACATCTGCTCATCTTCACATATGCTCATCTTCACATCTGCTCATCTTCACATCTGCTCATCTTCACATCTTCTTATCTTCACACCTGCTCACCTTCTCTCTCACGCCTTCTTTTTATCTTTCTCTCTTAAGGCCGAGGGTGGTGCCGGCGGCGAGTCACGAAACGTCAACCCTTTCGCACGAAATGAGGGTCGATCGGCAAAAACTGAGGAAAAATTGCGATTTGACTTGTGCCGGAGCAACCCTTTCGCACGAAATGAGGGTCGATCGGCAAAAACTGAGGAAAAATTGCGATTTGACTTGTGCTGGAGCAACCCTTTCGCACGAAATGAGGGTCGATCGGCAAAAACTGAAGTAAATTTGCGATTTTACTTGTGCTAAAGCAACCCTTTCGCACGAAATGGAGGGTCGATCGGCAAAAACTGAGGAAAAATTGCGATTTGACTTGTCCTGGAGCAACCCTTTCGCACGAAATGAGGGTCGATCGGCAAAAACTGAGGAAAAATTGCGATTTGACTTGCCCCGGAGCAACCCTTTCGCACGAAATGAGGGTCGATCGGCAAAAACTGAGGAAAATTTGCGATTTTACTTGTGCTAAAGCAACCCTTTCGCACGAAGTGAGGGTCGATCGGCAAAAACTGAGGTAAAATTGCGATTTTTCGTGTGCCGGAGCAACCGTTTCGCACGAAATGAGGGTCGATCGGCAAAAACTGAGGTAAAATTGCGGTTTTTCGTGTGCTGGAGCAACCCTTTCGCACGAAATGAGGGTCGATCGTCAAAAACTGAGGAAAAATTGCGATTTTACTTGTGTGTCAAAGCTTCTGTGTGTAAAAGCGTCTGTGTGTAAAAGCGTCTGTGTGTAAAAGCGCTTGTGTGTAAAAGCGTCTGTGTGTAAAAGTCTCTGTGTAAAAGCGTCTGTGTGTAAAAGCTTCTGTGTGTAAAAGCGTCTGTGTGTGTAAAAGTCTCTGTGTGTAAAAGCGTGTGTGTAAAAGCGTCTGTGTGTAAAAGTGTCTGTGTGTAAAAGTGTTTGTGTTTGTGTGTCAAAGCATCTGTGTGTAAAAAGCGTCTGTGTGTAAAAAGCGTCTGTGTGTAAAAGCGTCTGTGTGTAAATGTGTTTGTGTGTCAAAGCGTCTGTGTGTAAAAAGTGTCTGTGTGTAAAAAGCGTCTGTGTGTAAAAGTGTCTGTGTGTAAAGGCGTCTGTGTGTAAAAAGCGTCTGTGTGTAAAAGCGTCTGTGTGTAAAAGCGTCTGTGTGTCAAAGCGTTTGTGTGTAAAAAGCGTCTGTGTGTAAAAAGCGTCTGTGTGTAAAAGTGTTTGTGTGTAACAGTGTTTCTGTGTAAAAGTGCCTGTGTGTACAAGCGTCTATGTGTAAAAACTTCTGTGTGTACAAGCGTCTCTGTGTGTAAAAGCAGCTCCTGTGTGTAAAAGGGTCTGTGTGTAAAAGTGTCTGTGTGTAAACGTGTCTGTGTGTAAAAGTGTCTGTGTAGAAGCGTCTGTGTGTAAAAGCTTCTGTATGTAAAAGCTTCTGTATGTAAAAGCTTCTGTCTGTAAAAGCTTCTGTGTGTAAAAGCTTCTGTGGGTAAAAGCTTTGTGTGTAAAAGCGTCTGCTGTGTAAAAGCGTCTGTGTGTAAAAGTGTTTGCGATGCAAACTATTGTCTTGCACTTCTCACTGTTTTGTCTTGATACTCCTCTTCTCGACTGCCTATAACACAGCTTTCATATACCGTTTCTAAAATTGCATCTCCATACTAACAAGAGAAGACCCTGCTCCTCTACGCTCTCGGGCCATCCGTCGTCTAGTTTGATCACACATTGTTTGAAAGGTCCGTCACGTGAACCCCAAAAATGCGACCTGCACTGTCTTACGGTGTTGGGTGCCCGAACCATGGCATTTCCACGGTGCCTGGTACCTGGTCTGGCCTCAGAATGCAGCAGCTGCTATAGGGTTGAACAGCGGGGATTGACTTCAAAAGACTTTAGGGGTCAATTGTCGAAGATTCAAACTGATTGCATTTCCCACCAGCAAAACAAAATTATTGAATATATACTGCCCAAGACATTGCGTTGATTGCATGACCTCACACAAGGTTGATCTGAGTTTGAAATGAACCTACGTAGACAGACCTTCACAAGCCATCACAAATGATGCATGGTGCAAAATACGAACATTGCGTCTGGTGCAGGGTCAACAAAATGACTCGTCCACGCAAAATAAAAGGCAGGGCTAGATATGTATATAGCTCGCTGTCATGACATCCAGGATTCTGGAGACCCCGACTGAATCTGCTGAAGACCTGCGTGGGCCAACACGCATGACAATTCAATTCCAATGGGGTGGGTCAAAGAAAAAACTAGAGAAGTGACAAGTTCCAATGAAATTAAATGGAATGTAAAGTGTTATGGGATCAAATCACGGGTTGAAACTGTTCAGTCAAAACAAAACATTCGGTGAGTTCCAGTGGAATTGATAAATTCGGCTCCGCCGGCTCCCCACGAGTGGCTTGCCCCATGACCCAGAGCGACTAGCCCCAAGCCGCCGACCCTCCGACGCCAGGCCCCGAAAAACACCAAAAATCCTTCACTCAGCTTTTTGGACGGAATCCGGGTCGCTCAAGAGCATTCCCCCCCCCCCCGTTTTGAGGGTACCTAAAATTGGAAAAAAGCACCGTTTTGACACATTTTTCAGACGATTTTTAGCTTTTCGACATTAACAAGCAAGAAAATGCTCGTCTTGCTTGCTGTTGCTGTTTATGTTCCTGCACTGTGCCCACTGCCGCCGCGGCTCCAAAAATCGAACCACTCCCAGCGGCAAATCCCAATGGCAGTGAAGGACGGAAAAGTTCCAAAATTGCGCCTAAAAATTGCCTAATGCAACGTCTGAAATCCGTATAGAAACAAGAAAATGCTCGTCTTTCTTGCTGTTGCTGTTTATGTTCCTGCACTGTGTCCAATGCCGCTGCGGCTCCAAAAAGCGAACCGCTCCCAGTGGCAAATCCCCATGGCAGTGAAGGACGGAAAAGTTCCAACAGTGGTGCAGCCAACTCTTTTTCCCTTACGCGCTCCCCCTTTCTGTCGGCCGGGGTCGGCGGATCGGCGGACCGGCGGACACATACATACATCATTTATATATAATACAATGATACTAGATTCTAGCATGTGATAAATTCACTCTTGGGGTCTTGAATCATGCTCGAATTCAGGACAACCAACATTTGTGGTGCTTCGATTCTTTTTGAACTTGCCCAAAAATGATGGCGTGTCCAGGTGTCTTGTTCAAGCTTGAGAAGTTATGTAACATTATTGCCCAGGGAGAGCGAGAGATACAGACGGAAGTCAGCACCATTATCACTGGAACAATAGGATTCTGGTCCGTGTGATTCATGTGACTTGGAAAGTGAGGGGTGGTTCTGAGGAAGTTCTTGTGTGAAACGGCTTTGAAACGACTTGTTGAAAAAGTGCAGTGCAATGCAGCCTACCATTCCGACTGATTTCCATACCACTTGCTTCCAATGCAGTTTTCTTGCTGTTTGCACCGCTCTTTGCTCCTACAACATATACTGTACAAATGCAGTAAGTACGACATGCTTATGCATTTGGGATGCTGCACATGCGTTCGCAAGCAACCACAAAGCACAGGAAACAAAACCCTGACAGGGTGCGCTTGATGGTAATCGTGGTCCCTCCTGAATTCAGGCAATTCATAGCTTATTCTAAGTGCAACAGCAAAACTGAAGTGGTTGCAAAACACCGGAAACCCTCGTTGGTACTACCATGTAGTGTTACAACTCTGTCTTCTTTCTGCGTGCCCAGGTTGCAACTGGTCCGGAATTGCTGGGATGACTATGTGATGGACATAAATCGCGCCTGGGCTGGTAATGGAGCCAGAACCAGCATGGACCAACCTGCATTGATCTTGTGCAACGAAGTCGTGCATCAGGAAGAGCCCCAACTGCTGCTGGTGAAGCCCTTATGGTATCCCATGCTTGGACGAAAACAGAGATGGCATCTCCCCACCAACGTGTATGTGTTTTTTTTTCATGTTTTTTCTTGCGAAAGCTGAACAGCATACGCTGCACTGTGCCAAACGACACAGAATAGGCATGTGGTTTTGTAAAAATGCGCAGAACAAGATGGAAGCTGGCGGCAAGAAACAGAAATCAACCATGGTGTTTGACTTTGTGGCTGAGGAACAGACAATTCTGTCAAACACTGGAATGTCTTTTTTCTTATCCATCGGCATCGCAGTAGCTTCGGTGCTTGCTTTCAGCCGCAATCTGGTGATCGGGTTCTATGTTCTCTTGACCATAGTGCTTGCAGCTTGGCTTCCTTGGAAGCTCAATTCCTGTGATAATTTGAACTGCTTTCCAAGACCAGGGTTTTAGCATGATTTGATCTCCTCAAAATCGAGCGTTGTGCAAGGAAGTTTGTCCACTCTTTGGCTTTCTTTTCGGAGTGATGGGCTACGAGTTTGGGGCTATTGAAGCCGTTGGCGCAGTCATCTTTGTGGGCATGAGTGTGGACTACTGTCTGCACATGGCTCACGGTCAGGGTCTCAAACCAGGCCCCACTTTTGGATTCAGCAGACTTGCGACATTGTGCTGCTTAAACAGTGTGGCTTAGTGCGTAAGATGCCCAAGTACATGTAGATTTCTCTCCCAACTCTGACTCTGGTGACTCTGGTGAGTCGCTTTTGGAATGATGATGCTATGTGCTGTTGACCCATCAAGAAGATTTAAATCTGTGTTATAGCCGAAGACTAGGTTATCATGCAGCTCCTCGAGAGACTCGCAGAGTCCCTTGGTACGGCGAGATGTCGCCTATCAAATCGATTGACGCTGTTTTTATATTGCATTTTTGTGGAAACTCAGCATTCCATGCTGTTCCTTGTTGAAATTCTGTTGAAATTTGCTTCAGGACAAAATGCAAATGACGATGGTTAACCTTGGTCCGTCCATCTTGGGTGGTGCCTTCACAACAGCTGCTGCAACGGTCTTTCTTCTACCTTGTTGTATTGTCCTCTTCGTCAAACTCGGAACTATGCTTGCAACTTGGCTTCCGGGTGTGGAATGTCGCTGAGGGCCATTCAATCAGTTGTCAAATATGGATAGATGTTTGCGGAGACACAGATCCAGCTTAAAGTGACCTTCTTGATGCTCCCAAGCCGCTTTTGGACTCAGGTTGCGAACACCATTCTGTCAGATGCTTAAGATGCCACCTCTGGTTGCAGCATTTGACATCTTTGGAAATCACATGGAGTTTGGCCTAGGACTTTTTAAGAAGTTGACGCCATAGCAAGGTCCTTGCTATACACTTACTTCTTTCTGGCGCCACTGCTCATTGTAGCGGGTCCATTGGAAGATGTTGGATCCTTTTCTTGGTGGCTCAGCTGATCAGATCTAGGATTTGGTGGTCAAATTAAGTCCAATCCACTCGGATTGAGTTGAGCAAATTGAGCAGATCATGCTACACGATGCACCGCAGCTGAAGGTTCGGAAGGAAGGTGTTCTCCTGGTTGTGCTCAAGCCGACGCAGAGATGAGTACTTGAGGCCCACTCTTCCTACCGAATCTAGTAGGTTTCCAAATGTAAATGTAAACTTCTCCTGATACGCTTAGGATATAAGCGGAGAGGATGCATGTTGGTTGCCTCGAAGTGAGTAAGCAAGACATGCTAGGCATTGTATCTCTATAAAATGAATTGCATGCATTGTGAATTGTTAATTTCATTCTTCACAGTTTGAGATGTTCAATCCTCTCCCATGATGCGCTTGCATGTCTTGATACAAGCAACATAACCGCTCACATTCATTCACAGCTGCTGACATGCTACTAGTAGCTACATCTTAGAGCCAAAGTAAGCAATTTTGCTCGTGAAAAGATGTTGCAAAATACGATTAAGATCAATTCGCATGGCATATAGCCTCAACAGGAGATTAGGACCAGGACATTATTTATAGCGAAATCGTAGAAAGTCTCCGCAGACACAAGCGCTTGAAGAAATGTGTTTCTTTAGCATATTTCTTTTGAGGTTTTTGAGGTTGATATTATTGATATCTGTACAGACTATATATGTATATATATACATATAAATACATACACAGTACATACATACATAATCGAAGGAAGTTTAGAAGTGGACAGATGAAAAGCAGAGCAGGGAAGAGGCAGAGAGAAGAGAAAGATTAGAAGAAAGAAGAGTAGAAGAGAAAGATTAAGAAGAAAGAAGATGCAGATGCGCGAAAAGGTAGGGAAGTCGCGAAACACTGTGTTTTTCCAATGATTTGTGGCTCCGGAGGGTCGAAAAGTAGGCTCGCTAAAGCGACGGGTGCGGAGTCAGCTGGCCAGATGAGAGATGAAAAATTGCACGCCGTTGTGGCGCGAAGCACATTTCCAAGTCAAAATGCACAAAACACCTGGTGCTCGGAGCACTTTTGGAAGTTGAAATGTCGAAAAAGTGCACGCCGTTGTGGCGCGAAGCACATTTCCAAGTCAAAATGTGCAAAACACACCATTCTGGGACCACTTTTGGAAGTTGAGATGTCGAAAAAGTGCACGCCGTTGTGGCGCGAAGCACATTTCCAAGTCAAAATGTACAAAACACACCAGGTTCGGACCACTTTTGGAGGTTCAGATGTCGAAAAAGTGCACGCCGTCGTGGCGCGAAGCACATTTCGAAGTGAACATGTTCAAAACACTAGGGGTTCTGATCACTTTTGGAGGTTCAGATGTCGAAAAAGTGCATGCCGCTGTGGCGCGA